TGTTCTCGATGCACTTGTTAGCTGCTTTTTGGGAAGAAAGCGCTCTTCAGAGACAATAGTGAGCATCTTTAGCCACAAATTCCTTCTAATTAAGGGCTCTCACATCAGTTTTCAGGATCTTTAAGGAAATTTATGTGTATTACTACTTCAACACCTTAAACGATTGACTTCAGTAGCGAAGCTCCCTTACACAGGAAAACTATTGATACTCGGTCAGAAGGGAAGGAAGTTGCACCTTGTTAAATTTCTTAAATGAAATCATAAACGGCCTATTTTCTTATTTTTTTTTTATTCCGTTCCTATTGACCTTTACCTTCAGGAGCCAGTGCTGTTCTCTGGAACTCTTCGCGTAAACTTGGATCCGTTCAATGAACATGAGGATGAAGAGCTTTGGAGAGTACTGGAAGTGAGTCATTTGAAGAGATTTGTGATGAGTCTGGGTGGAGGATTTCAGCACATTATAGCAGAAGGAGGCGAAAATCTCAGGTAGGAAAGAGGATAGACTGACAAAAAATACGTTGAAATGTTTAATGATACAAGATACAAAAATGTATTTTCAACATGAAACACGGTCCGTTTTACGATTTAATGTACTTGTCTCACAATCCGTTTCAAGTGTGGAAGGTTTTGCAAACTAAGAGATACATTTCCTGTATGCGGTGTGTATTAAAATTATGCGGCTCAGAGAAGTTCAGAAGAAAATAATAGAATCGCGTCGAGGCTCTCCATGAAATGTCAATCCCCCCTCCAGAAGCCCTGCAAATCAAGAGGCTCATGGGAATTTATTTGAAGTTCTTGGGGTACGGGGTAAAGAGTAAAGACCACAACCCAAAATAAATATCATTTCAGGCTTGAAAGGTATCTAAACTAATTTAAATTTTATTTAAGTCAGGGTTTTAGTGATTTTCTCATTGTTTTTCGCTTATACAAAGTTTTAGTTTTTTCATGTTATGAGCGTCTAATCTTTTATTTCTAATCGTAATTAATTTTTCTTGCGCTCTCTTTGCTATATGACTATTGAAACTTTTGATCTAGCTTAAAATGTAACCCTTATAATACTAAAGCTCATATGATTTTATAACCAAAGAGCAATAGACAGCATAGCCTTAACGATTGAAAAGTTTAAGGACATTTAAGAACAGCTTCGGGCGGATGGTTTACTTTGACCAACGACTTCCAAGTGATTCGTGTAACCGCTATGGAACATTTAAAATTAATTGCAGTGTTGGCCAGCGGCAACTGGTTTGTTTAGCGCGTGCACTTCTCCGTAAAAGTAAGATCCTGGTTTTGGACGAAGCAACGGCTGCGGTGGACCTGGAAACTGATGAACTCATCCAACAAACGATTCGACGGGAGTTCGCCGACAGTACAGTGTTCACCATCGCCCACAGGCCTAACACCATTATGGACTATGACAGGTAGAACTCTTTCTTCCGGACTTCGTACAAACTTCTGTGAAAAGTTTAACTAAACCGTTGATCTCCAATAGCTCAACGTAGCAAAAAAGTAAATAATATTCCTTAAGCACGCGAGCTGTCAAGCTTCGATTGTAAACAGCAGGTCCTTACCTCATGGTGCTCTTTCGCTACAAAATAATCTAAAAGGCAAGTTAATGACACAATACCTTACATGCTAAAGTGACAGAACTATATTTCTCCTTTCACAGGGTTATGGTTCTTGAAGACGGTTCCATCGTAGAATTTGACGCACCCAACAAACTTCTTGAACGAAGAGGACACTTCTACAACATGACTCGTGACGCAAGACTTACAAAGTGATCTACAGTCGAACCTGTTTTTAACGGTCACCAACGTGAATGGCGGAAAAATAGGTTGGCTGATGAACACAGGTTCCACAGAACAGGGATGTTTTAAATACGATTGAAGTCTCCATTTTATTCTATATCTGACCACTTAACATGCAGAAAATCGCTCAAGAACAATACTAACATTGATTTCGGCAGATTAAGACGGATTAAATTTTACTGAAAAGATTATTCTTAGTTGTATTTGAGTGGTTCCGCTTTAAGTGACCGTTCAATGCAGGTGAAGGATATACAGAAAGGCCGTTGGAACTCAGTAAAAGATGACCCTTATATACAGGTGAAAATTTCAGTGATTAATGGTTAAATATTTCGGGACTTTGAAAACTCACCGCTTGATACAGGGTGACCACTTAATACAGGTTGGACTGTAAAATACATTTTTTAACTAGACCTTACACTCTTAGTGTCACGAAAGTTTCGTTTGTCATCGAGTTGCAAGCAATATTTACTTAATTACACGTGCGAAAGACATTTACATTCCAGAGCATTGATTTCGAACCTTTGATTGACATTTACACCTCGTGATTAATTATCGTTGTCTAGCTTAGAAAAAACTTTGTAAATAGATTTTTTATTGTCTGATTAAACGAATAGAACGAACAACGAGTTTCTTCTTATACGATATACTGGCGCCCAACGTGGGCGGGATTCCTACATGCTAACGATGAGCGAGAAGGTCCTTCGATTGCGCGCGTAGCGCGCTGAAAACAGAGGCGTTGTAACCAAACTTATAGGACAAGTCGAAACGATCTTAAAAGAGAGTCCGGAAGAGTTGGATGCAAAAACAAGGGACCGACTACGAAGAATCGACTCGATGTTAAGCGAAAAGTTGACATTGTTAAACACGCTCAACGATCAAATAATAGCCGTATGCAAGGTGGAAGAAATTGAGAAAGAAATAGAAGAGACAGAAACATTAACAATGCACATCATGGACACGAAAGCGGGCATTTCAACGAGGACAACGCCTCCTGTAACGAAAGTCGTTCCTGGTGAAATTATCAAACCTCCAGCACAAGTTCATACAAATGTAGAGCTGCCAGAACATCCTACAGCGTCTTCAGGATTTACCAATCAAGGAATACAACCCTTTACGAATCCCTTCAGCTCGCATCAGCCTACCTTGAAAGCGAAATTGCCGAAGTTTTTCTTATCCAAATTCTGCGTTTCGATAACTAGCTGGATCAGTTTCTGGGGTGCTTACAATTCTGCGGTTCACAACAATGCAATGTTATCTAAAGTCGACAAATTCAAGTACTTAAATTCCCTTTTGGAAGGAGAAGCGAAGCGATCTATTCAAGGCGTTACTTTGTCAGAGTCAAATTACGATTCAGCGGTGGAAATTCTTCATGAGCGCTCCGGGAAACCCCAGCAAATGATATCTGCTCATATGGATGAAATCGTAAAATTACCACCGAGCACAAGTGATCGACCATCTTCGCTCCGTTTCGTTTACGAGAAATTAAGTGTTCGTGTGAGAGGATTGAAGTCTCTCGGTGTCACAGCTGAACAATATGGTAGTTTGCTAATCCCTATTGTTATGTCGAGGCTTCCCGACGACGTTCGATTACAGATTACACGAAACGCCTAAGAAGAAATCTGGAAAATCGAGGATTTACTTGAAACGATTAAGAATGAAATGAGAGCTCGAGAGGCGACCGAAGGAATTCTAGTTACGTCCGATTCTATGAAAAAGCCGCCGCTATCAAACCGTCCACCGTTCAAGCCAAAGGAAAAGGCTACGTCTTCAACATTCCTGTCCAATCAAGGCCTTCAAGGTGGCGAAAAATTTACTATTCGTTGTGCATACTGCGAAGCATTTCACCACTCCGCATCATGTCCAAAGGTAATCGACCCCGCAAAACGGAAAGAGGTTCTACAATGAAAGCACCGATGACTTATCTGTCTTAGAGTTGGGCATCGTAGCAGCGAGTGCCAGACGACCAAAACATTTCGCCATTGTAACAAACGTCACCATCAAACCATCTGCGAAAAAGGCGCACCGAATCAACAACTTAGCACTACTTCTATCGCAAACGACAAATCCGAGAATTCCCAAGTCACCCCGACAGCAGCTTTACGAAAGGTGAAAACGGGGAACAGTGCTTCTATAAACCGCGACAGCTGTGGCCACCAATGAGGATGGCACCAAAATGACACGAGGGAAAATTCTCTTTGATAGTGGTAGTCATCGTTCTTATGTCACCAATGAATTAAGTCACGATTAAATCCTAAGTCCTACAAAACCGAGATGTTGAACTTAAACACTTTCGGTGAGCAGAAATACCGAAAGCAGAGCTGCGAATTAGTGAAAGTTCGTCTCAGCAAACCTGGGCTTAATGAAGGAGTAGAAATCTCCGCGTTAACTTTTCCTGTTATTTGTTCCTCTTTACAAAGCAAGGTGCATATCAGAAAGTTTCCGCAACTCGAGACCCAGGAGTTAGCCGACGAAATTTCAACGATGGAAATAATGATTCGATAGACATACTTATCGGGTCTGGCCATTACTGGAACATTGTGTATGGAGAAAAGATTCGATGCGAATCTGGCCCTATTGCGATTAGCAGCAAGCTCGAATGGCTTTTGTGCGGTCCAGGTGGAGAGTCGGTTGGTAACGCCTCTGTCTCTAATCTCGTTATTACAGAAGTGTTGGCTGATTTTACACGATTTTACATTCGCTTTTACACGAAGGAACACGACCAGCTGGTGAACACTTTGAAGCATTTCTGGGAAGCCGAATCGACTGGAATTAAACCGGAACAAGTTAAAGAATCGATGGGAATTTCTTTAATCAAGGATCTGAGTTAAGATGGAAAACGTTATGTCGTCTGTCTCCCCTCGAAGGATGAGAGAGAGGTAATACCAAGTGAATACCAACTGAGCCGCAATCATTTGAATTCATTGCATTACAAGCTAAGACGAGATCAAGAGTTACTAAACGAATACGATAAGATCATCATAGAACAGCTACAACCGGGGATCATCGAAGAAGTAAGGGCCGAAAGTGACAACAAATTTAGCGAAACCGTGCATTATTTACCCCATAACGCAGTTTTTCGCCGAGATAGAGTTCGAGTAGCCTACAATGGTTCTGCAAAGTCGCCTGGAAACAAGTACTCTTGAAACGATTGCTTAGAAGTTGGACCAAACCTCATTCTGCAATTATTTGATGTTCTCGTGAAGTTCAGGTCCGACCCAATTGCCCTAACTGGTGATATCGAGAAAGCCTTCCTCGTGGTCTAAATGAACGAAGCAAGCAAGGACATGCTGCGGTTCCTGTGGTTCAAAAACCTGTGCGAAATTACCTCCGACGTCATCCAGCTTCGATTCTGCCGGTTGGTCTTTGGTCTAAGACCTTCACCTGCGATACTTGGTTCCACCATTCGTCATCACTTGGATTCTTGTGAGAGATTAGACCCTGAGCTAGCCTACGTAATCAATTTGCTGAGAGAGCGCTTGTATGTGGATGATTTTCGGGGAGGAGCGGATTCAATAGAGAAAGCCCAAGAAATCTCCAAGAATTCGAAAGACATCGTGTGACATTCGAAAGACATGATCAATTCATCAGAGAAATCTCGGGAAACATTTACATCGAAGTCAGCCGATTTTACACAAGACGACGAGTCCTACAAGAAGTCAATTAACAAATGGTAAACACCACAGCGTACACTATTGAGTTATGGATGCACGCGGGAGGTTGCTAAGCACGAAAGAAGCGTAAGAGTCGCTCGAGGCGATAGCCGAGAGCGACTCTAGCTTCTTGAGTGCTTAGCAAACCTCCCAAGTGCATCCATAACTCAATAGTGTACGCTGTGGTGTTTACCATTTGTTTTATAATATAACATTGATACATTGTAGCTAAAGAGTTCCCTTTTATTTAACAAATCTTACCCAACCAGAAAAAACAAGCGCGCGCGGAAAAATAGTCTTTGCATTTGCTCACGTCAGCAGCGTACACCCATGGGCAAATGGGGGACGCTAAATTGACCAATCAAAGCGCGCGCTTTACTTTGGTTATGTTATAAAAATTGATTGAGAGAACTAATAATGCGAGTGGATACAGGTAAGGTATTCCAGAGTTTAGCGACACGATTAAAGTAACTAAATTGAAAAAGCTTTGTACGGCTTTGTTTCATCAGCAAGGTCAAACACAAGGTCAATAAACGTAAACCAGACGAAGTCCTAGAAGTGTGCCGAGACGAACAGCTTTGCGCCAATGAAATCAACCACGCCGAGACCTACTGGATACGAACGATCCAAGCCAACTCATTTGCCAGTGAAATCCAATTTCTACGTAATGGAAACCAATCGAAACCCAGACGAGTGGAACAATTGACGTTGTTTCTCGACGAGAAGCAAATGTTGCGCTGTCGCGGTAGAATTAACAACTCCTTAGCCTGCAGAACAGGCGTTCTAGTGTCTGCCAAGCCACTAAATGGTCTTGTTCCATTCATTAATCAAACGAATTTTTAAAAATGCTCAATATGCTAATGATATGCTGATAACATCCTAATCTGCGGTTCATTACCTTAAAGTGCAGATCTTTCAAAACTCTAGAGAACTTTTAAAAATGCACTATATCCTAATGATATCCTAATATTATTCAAAAAAAGTTGTGACCGTACACGGGAAAACGTACTTTAACGTTAATCCGTTAGACGGGCAAAACCGTTAGTCATCCGTCAGTTGCCCGTTAGAAACTTTTCACAGAAACGTTAGAAGCGTTAACAGAACCATTAGCTTTAAACGTCACTGCGTTAGATCGAAAAGTTTAGCCGTTAGCCGTTAGCCGTTAGCCGTTAGCATCAGAACGTCAGAACGTTAGTTGTATCCGTTAGAACGGCTAGGTGAGGCGTTAGAAAACATCATACCTTCCGTTAAATGGATGAAAGCCATTAGTTTCCGTTAGCCGTTAGCATCCGAGCGTTAGAGCGTTAGTTGTATCCGTTAGAATGTCAGTTTCGTAAACAACAAACACAAAGAAATGAAAATAGCAAAATTTCTGAAACCCGTTATTGAATTCCTATAGTTTTCTATACATGCTAAGTCGCCCTAGAAAATTCGAAAACTTTCCCACCAAGATAAGGCTTTCGGGAAAAAATTGAAAGGACCGCTAAACATTTCGGCTAAGGAAATAGGTCGTCCTTGTTGTGGGCTGTTATTTTCGGGAAAGGCGAAAAACAGCCCTAAAAAATTCGTTAGTCTGAATTCACTACTTGAACGACCGAACAGATCAAATTTTTTTGCGATTCGAATAATTCATTTATATTGCTTTTAAGGTACACTCGGAAGCATAAACGGGGCATTTCAGATCATTTTCTAGAAAACGGTTTTTGGGTGCCCCTGACAAGTCGACCTTTTGGCGAGCGGAGTGAGCTGGCTTTTTTGGCGGCGAAGCGGCCAACCGCGAGCGACAAAGTCGCGAGAGGTCGCCATATGAAATCCAGCAAAGAACTTTTTAGAAAGTCTAGGATTTACTCAGGTGGGAATTTTCCCCTTAATTTAGGCATCGAAATGCCTAAAAATAATGTATATTAACAAGAATAATTAAAGTCCTGGATGCGGCTCGCAAGATATGACTCGTTCTAAGATACCAAATTTGCATAACGTCGTTTACGATATATTCACGCATCGCAAATATCCTTCCTACTGGATGATTAAGTGATCACTGTGTCAAGCTGTTGAATTTTTCTCGTCTTCGCACAACATAATTATCATTTGACATTCTCGACTATAATATTGAACATTACTTTTGTCCAAGATCTTTTTTTTTTAATGAAGAAAATAGAAACAGCAACACAACAACGCGCCAGTTCCGTTCCGCTTCGCGTACTTCTGTCACGCACTCCCAGTAAATAAATATCCGCGAAATTCGCCCACACTGAAATAACAGTTTGGCGTGTTGTATAATAAATAACTTATTAGACGTTTTGTTGTGTAGTATCGCTGAGTATTTTTACTCGTTATTTGTATTTTGACTCGCCCTACGGGCTCGTCAAAATACGGCACAACTCGTAAAAATACTCAGCGATACTACACAACAAAACGTCTATTAAGATATATATATATGGATATGACTGGTGATACAATTTGCATATGATTGTTTTTAACCTATTCAATCTGTGACGTATGAAGCTAAAAAGGTCTATCGGTCAGGGTCCACTTCCGTTACCACACTTTCAAGGCCATTAACTATCCGTTAACTACCCGTTAGTCTTTGCCCGTTTAACAGATAAGCGTTAAAGTACGTTTTCCCGTGTACGATCACAGTTGTTCACAAATGTCACACGTGAACTACTACGTCACAAATTTACATACTCTCTTCTTCGTCGAAAAGAGACTGTGTACCCCGCAAGGCGCAAAATGAAAATGTCAGAAAAGGGGTCGCTGGTATGGCTGCCTCGATCTGTCACCGAATCCATCAGGTATGCAAGAAGTTTTACAAATGTTTAGTGATACTGGTTTGCTGTTAATTGCATGCATTCTATAGTGATCAGTGCCTATGTAACGGAGTATAAAAATCTCTTAAAGGGGGCTTCTCCTGAACTTAATACTTTGACAGATGAGACTCTTTCAGAAGTTGAAAATCTTTAACAAGACCTTGAAAAAATGTATCGGGAATAAACAGGATTTGTCCTTTACCTAAGAAAACTCTTCTACTAACTATGATTTATCAAGGCTCTGTGTTCTGTATAAATAGACGTACTGCAAGTTGGCATTGTTTTTTTCTTTCCGTAGCATTGTAGAATTTTAACGCATCTTTAAAGTATTTATTTATTTATCTGTAAAGTATTTATAAAGGCATTCTGAATAAAAATATTTCGAATAAGTTCAACTTAATGAAGTATTGTTGACGGAAAGAGCACGTCTCAGAGCCGAATAATCTGTGCGCAGAATCGAAAACTACGTAACCGAGTTAAAGAAATCAAACGTGATTATAACTGAACAAAATGTCTGCCATAGAAAATGGTTTTCTGTATTTAACACTAAATCAACAGTCTAAAGTCGAACGCTTTTTTCCCACTTAGCATGTCCCTCGAAGACGATTCTATCGCTCGCAATTTAGTACATCTTGTATGAGGGGTGAATGGTTAGCGATGTTTCGTTTTCCTTAAAACCATAAAGTTCTTAAGGCATCTTAAAGTAGTTATTATCCAATGAAACAAAATAAATTTCAAATAAGCAAGCTACAAATATATACATGCAACAGCTTGGAGTAAAGCTCGTCACGGTTGACGGCTTCGAAACCCCCCTGAGGCAAGAAGGAACATGTTTCGAAACGGTCTCTTAGTTTTCTGAATGTGAGCGGTTTTCGTCAAAGCCAACCAAGCTTTTCTGAAAAGAACATCGCGTAGGGTTACTGAGAATTCTTAATAATGTGTGGTGCTGTACAATTTTTCTTAGGAGTTATGTCCTCAACAAAGAAAACCATTCTCAGTTGACGCTTCTTAATATGCTGAAATATGCAAATGGTTGCCGTCAAGCAATTAGCTATTCAGGATGGTTCACTCTCGTGGTGAAGAACAATTTTTCTTAAAGTTATTTCCGCAATAGTGCAAAACAACCCGATTCTTCCCACTTCGTAGTTAATATGACACATTATTATCCAACTACACCTAGACGAGTACAAATAATGCCATAGACGAGTACAAACACTTGCGGTATTTGTACTCGTCTATTGTAGCGTACCGGTTAAACAGGTTTTCTCGCATCGCGCAAGCGAAGAATAGTCCATTTTACAGTTGTGTGCTTGGTTGAAAACCTTTTTGGTACACCTGACTAGCTGCATCTACTGCTTCTCACGCTTAAGTCGTCATATGCAAGCGTTAGATTTTAATGGCTTTAGCCATGCGATACAACAAGTTGTGGAAGCGTTAGAAAGTCTTCATGAGCCGTTAGGCAAAATCAGTAGGGCGTTAGAGCGAAGCGTTGGAACGCTCTAAATGACCGTTAGCCATGACATGCCGACCGTTAAGGCAAAACGTTACCACACTTTCAAGGCCATTAACTATCCGTTAACTACCCGTTAGTCTTTGCCCGTTTAACAGATAAGCGTTAAAGTACGTTTTCCCGTGTACGATCACAGTTGTTCACAAATGTCACACGTGAACTACTACGTCACAAATTTACATACTCTCTTCTTCGTCGAAAAGAGACTGTGTACCCCGCAAGGCGCAAAATGAAAATGTCAGAAAAGGGGTCGCTGGTATGGCTGCCTCGATCTGTCACCGAATCCATCAGGTATGCAAGAAGTTTTACAAATGTTTAGTGATACTGGTTTGCTGTTAATTGCATGCATTCTATAGTGATCAGTGCCTATGTAACGGAGTATAAAAATCTCTTAAAAGGGGCTTCTCCTGAACTCAATACTTTGACAGATGAGACTCATTCAGAAGTTGAAGATCTTTAACAAGACCTTTAAAAAATGTACTGAGAATAAACAGTATTTGTCCTTTACCTAAGAAAACTCTTCTACTAACTATGATTTATCAAGGCTCTGTGTTCTGTATAAATAGACGTACTAATATTTGGCATTGTTTTCTTCCGTTCCATGTAGCATGTAGAATTTTAACGCATCTTTAAAGTTTTTATAGGCATTCCGCATAAGAATATTTCGAATAAGTTCAACTTAACGAAGTATTGTTGATTGAAGCAGCACGTCTCAGAGCCGAATAATCTGTGCGCAGAAAACTACCTAACCGAGTTAAAGAAATCAAACGTGATTATAACTGAACAAAATGTCTGCCATAGAAAATGGTTTTCTGTATTTAACACTAAATCAACAGTCTGAAGTCGAACGCTCTTTTCCCATTTAGCATGTCCCTCGAAGACGATTCTATCGCTCGCAATTTGGTACATGTTGTATGAGAGGTGAATGGTTAGCAATGTTTCGTTTTCCTTAAAACCATAAAGTTCTTAAGGCATCTTAAAGTAGTTATTATCCACGGCTCGCTAGAGAATCAAACTCATTGAAGCAAGAAGGAAAGTTTTTCTTAGTTTTCTGAATGTTTAAGAGCGGTTTTCGTCAAAGCCAACCAAGCTTTTCTGAGAGGATCATCGCGTAGGGTTACTGAGAATTCTAAATAGTGTGTGGTGCTGTACAATTTTTGTTAGGAGTTATGTCCTCAACAAAGAAAACCATTCTTAGTTGACGCTTCTTAATATAGATTATACTGAAACAGGCATATTGTTGCCGTCAAAGCCAATTATCTTCTCAGGACGATGATTACGGAACATAAATTATAAATGATTTTTGGTGCAGAACATTTTTTCTTAAAGTTATTTCCGCAATAGTGCAAATCAACCCGATTCTTCCCACTTCGTAGTTAGTATGACACAATATTATCCAACTACACCTAGACGAGTACAAATAACGCCATAGACGAGTACAAATATCACGCGGTATTTGTACTCGTCTATTGTAGCGTACCGGTTAAACAAGTTTTCTCGCATCGCGCAAGCGAAGAATTGGATTGTAGTTACGAAACAAAAACTAAATGGCGGACAATTTGAATCAGATTTCCGAGGGCGAAGAGTCAGAATGGCTGGCAAATATAGATCCAACTTCATTAGATGAATCGAACGAAGAAAAACAGCTTGAAGACCAGAAAATTTATTCATTTAATGAAGAAAATAGAAACAGCAACACAACAACGCGCCAGTTCCGTTCCGCTTCGCGTACTTCTGTCAAGCACTCCCAGTAAATAATTATCCGCGAAGTTCGCCCACACTGAAATAACAGTTTGGCGTGTTGTATAATAAATAACTTATTAGACGTTTTGTTGTGTAGTATCGCTGAGTATTTTTACTCGTTATTTGTATTTTGACTCGCCCTACGGGCTCGTCAAAATACGGCACAACTCGTAAAAATACTCAGCGATACTACACAACAAAACGTCTATTAAGATATATATATATGGATATGACTGGTGATACAATTTGCATATGATTGTTTTTAACCTATTCAATCTGTGACGTATGAAGCTAAAAAGGTCTATCGGTCAGGGTCCACTTCTTTAAAGTTAACATTTTTTAACCATCTCGCTTAGAGTAATTTTTCTGTTGATTAGAATGTTTCCAGCGTTGAAATAAATGAAATATTCTCCACGCCGTGAATCATCGAGCAGTTGAGATGTTTTTGTACAACTAAAAAGAAGGAGAAACCTGCTGCCCTTCGGCAATTAACTTCACTCATTAATTTGAGCGCTCAAATACTTCGAAAACAGTCATACATCATGAAATAATGGAAGAAAATCACTGCACTTAATCCACACCGGAAAGCGAGAGCTACTGAGAGCTACTGATTTTTGTACATTTAGTTGACAGCTTGTCTTTTATTTTGATGGCTACAAACTTTCAGTTTTGCAGCGAGAAAGAGATAAATATTGTGACAGCAAATGTTTCCAGACCTTTCTTCCATTCGTTCCATTGCAAAAATGTTTTGCCAACCCACTTCGTAGAAAAGTGAATCTTTTGGTTTTATTTTTTTTATTGCGAGAGATACCTCTATTGCGAATTCGGATGGTCTTTATACAGTTGAATCCTTCTCAGAAACCACCATAGAATCTGGTAGTCACAACAATTACCGAAAGTTTAAGTTCTGCCATAATCAGTTCAGTAGTTCTTATCAATATTTTCACTCGCTGTTCAACAACCAAAATTAAATCAACGTCTAGGAACAAATGTAAAAAAGTCGAGAGGTTTTTGTTGGCGGCAGTATTTTTTACTAGCATGTGGAGTTAGGTGTTCAAAAAGCTTGCAAAGTCTGTCCATGAATCTCTCAGAAGGCGAAGCTATCTTGTAGAGAACACAAATTCTAAACAATAACACAAACATTCTGCGGCTGGACTATTTTATGGCAAAAAAGCAAAAGAATAAGCTGTATCACAAGCAGTGAATGCATAACAATATGTTTGAAAAGGAACCTCGATAACATTTTTTTATGACAAGGTTGCAGAAAAACAAAGTTATCCTAGCACAAATTATCAAGGTATAAGTTGAGCTATTTTCAATTCAACACAAGACTTTTTATTATTCATGCAAATATCGGATGCAGAAAAACACACTCATCTCATAGGCGTTATCGATGTACTTGTAATTTCTACGCGTGTACTAGTATTTTCTTTGTAATTTCTACATATGTTGCAGGTTTTTTAGCCTCTATAACACATAACTTGAGCTAGAAAAGGATTACTTGTTATTAATATTTATTACTACTTATTGATATTTATTTATTGAAATTTGGATTTTATAACGAACTTCATCAGTCGCCAAACAAATTACGATTCAAAATCGATTAATAGATATGTAGTCCAGTAAAATAATTTCAATGAAGACAAAAATATTTAATACTTGTAGCTAGCTGTGACTTCTTCCTGTTGATTATTGTTTTGTTCCTTTTTGCTTGTGGCTTTTTTGCAGGTTTCTTGTTGCTCATTAGTGTTACTTGTTGATTATCGTGGTGTTCCATGTTGCTCGTGGCTTTTTGCATGTTTCTTGTTTGTTGAAATGGTCCTTGCTACTTGTTCCCTGTTGCAGTACTCCTAACTCTTTGGACTTATAGCTTGTTGCAGTTTTGCTTGCTAAAAATGTTCTTTGTAACAGTGTTGTTTGTTGCTTCTTGTAGTGTTGCTTATTGCAGTGTTCCTTATTGCTTGTGGCTTTATGCATGTTTTTTATTGTCGTTTGTTGTGGTGTTCCTTGCTCCTTGTTGCCTGTTGCAGTATTCCATGTGACCTGACGCTTGTCGCTGTCTTCCGTGTTTGCTGTGACTTGTTTCTTGTTGCGGTGTTGCTTGTTGTAGTGTTGCTTGCGGTTGCAGTATTGCTTTTTGTAACGTTCCCTCTTGCTTATTGCTTGTTGCAGTTCTACTTGTTGCTGCTTTCTGATTGCTACATATTGCTTGCTGCTTGCTGCTTGCTGCTTGCTATTTGTTGCCTGTTGCAGTACTCCTAAGTTGTGACTTATAGCTTGTTGCAGTTTTGCTTGTTAAAATGTTTCTTTGTAACAGTGTTCTTTGGTGCTTGTTGTAGTGTTGCTTATTGCAGTGTTCCTTGTTGCTTGTGGCTTTATGCATGTTTCTCGTCTGTTGTTGCAGTATTCCTGGCTACTTGTTGCCTGTTGCAGTACTCCTTGTGACATGATGCTTGTTACTGTCTTGCGTGTTTCCTGTGACTTGTTTCTTGTACCGGTGTTGCTTGTTACTTGTTGTAGTGTTGCTCGTGGCAGTGTTGCTTTTTGTAATGTTCTCTCTTGTTTATTGCTTGTTGGTTCTACTTGTTGCTACTTTCTGCTTGCTACATGTTGCTTGCCGCTTGCTGCTTGTTGCTTGTTGCTCGTTGCTTGCTGCCTGTTGCTCGTTGCTTGCCTCTTGTTGCTTGCTGCTTGCTTCTTGCTGCTTGAGTTGCTTATGGCTTATAGATCGTTGGTTGTTTTCTTCAAATTGATTTCTAGTTCTTCTAGGTTTCAATTGCTACTGCAAGGCCCCATTGACATCATCGGTACACTGTACTGAATATCTATCTGAAAAGTGATCATTTGCGCACCAGATTACAATGTTCATTTCATCGTTTAAGCAGCTTTCTGACAAGTTTTTGGTACCATTTTTGTGGTCAACTGAGAGTGAATAGACTTCAAGTGGATGAAGCAATTATTTTATGGCCTATATGCTATTCCATGATCAATTTAAGCTAAATAAGAAATAAATCTGCTAATATTTGTAAATCTGCTGCCTGGATTATTATAGGTTTTACTTAAATCGCATAAGTTGGGCATAACGAGCAATTCATAACAAAAACGTTAAGTTAGTACACATTTAACCATAAAACGTAAATGGCATTGTTAAAGTGGTTTGAACTTTTGCTTGCGCTTACGGATTAAAATTGTCTGATTACTTCATCTTATAATTCAGCTGCTGTTACATACACTGTGTGATACTTTAAGGTCACTAATAGATGTTCATAGGATACTGTTAATACTGAACTGTTGAAGTTAAGTTGAGCTATATTTGGAGTTACTATTAATTAGGAAGAGAGATATCATGAACTGAAGTAGTTCAAATATTTACATGCAACAGCTTAATTATTATAATATTAAACACACTTTAAGAAAATATAATCCATTTTATCAATTTATTTTTGCAAGCTGAATTTTAAAGTAACGAATAAATGGTGAACCGCAATTAAATATTAATAACAAGCTGCTTTTTTAGAAAGGCTAATCATAATAAAATAATGCGAACCGAAAGATCCACTAGCTTTACCGAGATAAGAGATTCAACTGATGTCATGATCTTCAATCAGCCTTAATCGATCCGCGATAGTAAGAACATAAGCTGCTCTCAGATTTCCCTGACTAACTAATTAGGTATTTTACTAAGGCCTCTTTTACCTTGCAATTGGACTTCGTCTTGTTCTACAGGAAGGCGTCTGGCCTCTATCCTGTTGTAATTTTGAAACGTAGCTCCATAGACCCAAATCAGCCAAGCCAACGAAAAAGGCAATAAAAACCAGACTAAAGCCACGAGCCAAAACTCCATTTTTTCTTCTCTCGGATTAAATTAGTATAAAAGTTCCTAGGCTAACTTTACTGTCAAAGCTTCCCAATGCTCTGTAAGCTCAGTCAAGAGATTTTCCGACAGGGCTGGGGTGAGGAGGGGTTTGGAAGTTTCAACTTTAAGTTCTTTCTTTAATACTCAACAAAACGGGTATGATTTAATAGAGAATAGCGAATAACTGGCGTCAAAGAAACCCCCTAATTTTGGTTAAAAAACTAACATAGAGGGAGAAAAGCCGGCAGGTGAACACACACAAACAAAAACGTCCCCCCCTCCCCTAGCTCGAGGTCTGGATCCGCCTCTGCAAATAACCGACTAATCTGTGGTTCTATATAACTGTTTAAATATATTTAGCGAGGTTTTGAGTAAACTTTTAATGAATTGCTTTATCGTTTATTGCAGCTTTTAATGATTCAACGTTAATTAGCGTACCAAGACTAACTTTGGAGCAAGCATGACTGCTTATATTTGTGCTCTCTATTTGAAAGGAAGGAAACTTGGTTATTTCTTACCAAACTGATCTCCTTTTATTTCTCATTTCCTTTCAGGCAAGGAGAAATAGGTCATAAAATGTAGACAGAGGTGCAAACGAAGATGAAAACGTGGTTAATTCACCAGAAGTAACTAGGACAACTAGTGGGAAACATTTATTTCTCTTCATGATCAGTATTATCATTATCATGTTTTTTTTTCTTTTGATTTTTTTTATGCCTAATTCATAATGGCAACCTGAAAGGAAGACCATCCAGCAGCTATTAAATAAATATTGAATCAAATATCATTCAATAATCATTTGATGTCTCCAATTTGATCTGTGGCAACTCCGGAGCCATATATATCAGATTTCCTGTAGAAATATCTTAAAACTTGTAGTTTGTGAATAGGTGCATTGGATTGGAATACTAAAGTAAGAACTTCTCGGTGTCTTGTCCAGATTACCCTACCCCTAAACCCTGGTGGTAAATAAAAACATTAGTGAAGTACATTTGATGAAATTGATTTCACTTGAGAAAGCCGCGAGATTACAGACTACTAAAGTTAAGGTTTCCACGTGTGAATAAAGAATGAAAGAAAGAGACGTAGAATAATACATGGATATGCGTGTATATGAATTTTATCTTCGAGCGTTGATAGCATCTATCGCCAATGAGAGTGAAATGAACGAGCGAGACATATAAACAACACGATTGGATGAATTCGTACCCACAAACAGACTGGGTATTTTCTATTTCAGAGCTGTTTCAGAGCTCGGAAAACTGAGATTATCGGCTACTTGCAAACTCAGCTCCCATGGAAGCTGTATCAATTGAAATATATAATGTTATCATTCCAACAGAAGTTTTTCTTAGTAATGTTATTAAACTAAAAAATAAAGCTCAACGTGAAAAGTGAAACCTCTATGTTATCAAATTCAGTTACCATGATACTTTTACAGTGCACGGTAACGATATCATGACTTCAAAACAGCAGTTATGATTATAGTATTTCGTGGATTTACATATAGTTGACAAAGAATAAAAAAAATGGCCGCCCGTGGTCGTGGACTTTCTCGTCAAACGAATAAACGGGAGTGACTTTCCAAAGAAAATGCGGTATTCCGTCGGTGGGAGAATACAAGATGATTGGATGGTTTTATCAACTGATCTAATAAGATAAACTGACCACTGCACAGAGATTCTGAAGCTGACGTTTCTAGCTTTATTCCTTTGTCAGAGCAAAGAGCTTTGACAAAGGGCTAACACTCGCAGCGTCAGCCTTGCCACATAAAAACGCAGCTATTTGTTTCCTCTTCCAGAAAGTTTAATTCAACCTCAGAGACATTCATAAACTAAGGAAAAAATCTAGAAAACTAAAACCGCCATCGTAATAATCATGGTTACCATGACGAAACTGCTACGGTACGTCTACATGTCCGTAATGAAGTTATGATGTTTTCGAAACAGCCAAATTCCCGTACTTATCAATATACGCACATCGAATAATTATAATATTTTTTTCTTCAATCATTTCCCTTCTCTTAAGCACAACAATAGCTTTGCGCGTTATTTTCAAATCATGAACATTTCTTGCCCTGCTATGCCTTCAAACAACATGAAATACTTTAACTAACTTTTGAGTACTCTGACAACGCCGGTAGGACAGATGGAAAATTATTTACGTTTCTACGTCAACTAAAGGCTCCCGGCCTTTCCTGCCTCATGCCGGGAGGGGGTCTGGCGTCGATAGAGTCGAGAAACACAGAAACAAATCGCACAATGCGTGACGCGTCATTCTTTGAAAGTATATTTTCTATCGACGTTTCCTTTGCGACGTCGCGATGACTGTCCCACTTGTCCCTTATCAGGAGCGAATTCATTACGCTAAACGGGTGACATTGATTCCAAAAATGAGTGAAGTTTAAAGGAAATAACTCAAAGTGTTGAGATGATACATGTATTGATCACTGTTAATAAATCTACTATAAACGAATAGGGAGACTGAACGATAACTTTGAAAACAGCTGCTTTTCGTATTTCATTATACATATCGGCACGTTTGATTTTGCGTCAAGAGCAGGAGAATGTTCCAGATGAAGTTTCCCTATTGTGTGATATTTATAGACAATCAAATGGTTTTTTCCCTCAGGAAACAATTAGAGCCTGCTATTGTAAACACCAATCTCTCTTTGTCGTCGCAATGCCATTGACTTCTAACTCTCAAATATTTCATATGTAATCACCCAATTGCAATAAGAGTATCAAATGTTATTTAGAAATTTCAAGCGATTCCAAAAATAAAGAAACGAAAATGTGCAGTTTAATGTTGTATGCTCATGCCACATGCTAATGAATTCGAACTCTACTTATTCCTTTTTCATCTTGCTTTTTTTTTCTTTGACAACGTTATTGCAATTAGTTGTATATAAATAGATTTGTATCTCTTAAGTTTGCGAAAGAATTTAATCTCTTTCCAAGCAAGGAATCTGAACGTTTCCTTACTTTTATGCCTGCAAGCCCTCAGCCTTATTCATAACTCATTACGCCATGTCTATCACGTGAAGGCGCTTCAAAGGCCATATCCCAAGCAATCATCCGTAAATGTCACTGATCAAGCATAGTCTGATACAATAGAAATGCTGAAACAACATCTGAGCTTGCAGGAGTTGGACACGCAAACACGTTTTGTTTTGAAGTTCAAAATTTCTTTAGTTTTCATCCACCTCCATTATTAGGTGGCTTTCGATAAATATCTAGTCGATCAGCTGAACTTAGAATAGTCTTAGAAGTCCAGATAAAGCATCACGAGGACAAAACTTTCAGCAACAGGTTTTGCCTAAGGTTATAAAGCAACCAAGGCTACATTTTAAATTAATCGCGCGGTTTTCAATGTTCTTGCTCAGTATGACGCAAGTTTTTTCGAGTGGTAACACTGTTTGTCATATGGTGATCACTGGATCGTTCATTTCCTTTCATTGGATCGAAGTCGTCACCCACAGAACGCATTCTCTCATTGACGTCTTCTTCAGAACCGCCCACGGGGTGTAATCTCAATATCACGCACGGTTTACAAAACCCCCATCACTGTTTACGTCTATCACTGTCATACATTAATTATTTCACACAATGAACAGTGAAAAGAAGAAATGATCGAAGTATTTAATAATTGACAGTTATAGGTGCAACAGGTGCCCCTTTGCTTTTACAGACAAGGTTCTATCTTTGAAAAAGATGCTTTTAGGTAATAATGATCTATCTTTATTGAGCCCACATTGGACCTATTATCTGCAAAACGTTACAGATAATAGAACTGTTAAATATGCTATTTTGGATAAGTACACACCTGTAAAATGGTCTATTCGTCACTCGGATATATCACGTGACATTTCTATCGCCTGGTTCAATTACCACTCCCTTTTCGTCACGATTAGTGGGACAACTTTATGGCTTCTTAGAATTTTTTATCTAATTTGAGCTAAATTAAAATGGATCTCAGCTCTTATGTAACTATCTTCTCCAAAAAATGTATGATAGAAGACGTTTGTAAAGATGCACAGAAAGAATGCTTCCAGAGACCTAGTCCCTAACCCATAAAATAATCAATAATATCCATGAAAAAATCACGTGCGTCTAATTGGCTGAAAACGAGTGCATTTTTCATGTAACACGTTTGCAAAGTTGTAACACGAGTGCAAATTACAAGTAACGCAAATTGCACTCGACCTATGGGCTCGTGCAATTTTATTGTCTCTGAAAATTTTCTTCGTGATTATTAACACCAAATTTTTCGAAAAGGTCATATACAATCGCTTAGTAGAATTTGTCGAAAAACACGATATACTTTACCGCTGTCAGTTCGGATTTCGGAAAAATTACTCAACATCGCACGCGCTAATTCATTTGGTAAACAAAATTGCATCTGCAATCGACTAACACCAAACAACGGTGGGTGTTTTCCTAGATCTTTCCAAAGCATTCGACACTCTTGACCACTAAATCTTGTTTGCCAAATTGGAGCACTGTGGTATCCGTGACGTGGCTCTGCAGTGGTTTAAAAGCTACTTTTCATTCCGCCAGCAATTTGTCCAATTCAATCAAGCTTGCTCTCCGATGCAAACCATCAAGTTTGGTGTTCCTCAAGGTTCGATTCTAGGCCCACTATTATTTATTCGATACATTAATGACCTTCCTAATGCCTCTGAATTATCAGACCCTCTACTATTTGCTGATGACACCAGTATCTTTAATTCTCACTCAAATCTAAATTGCTTAGAATCTATACTTAATGGTGAACTCCAAAACATTGACGTTTGGCTAAAATGTAACAAGCTTTCAGTTAATGTCAAGGAAACCAACTATATAATTTTTAAACCCAGACAGAAGAAATTTAACTTCAGCATTTCTCTCTCCTTTGGAGGTAAACCCCTACAACAAGCTAATGTAACTAAATTCCTTGGGGTCTATATTGACAATCATCTCACCTGGAAATACCATATCAGCTATGTATGTAAACAAATCGCTAAATCAATAGGTATTTTATTTACGTCTCGCTTTTCCCTATCCTCTGCAACCAAGCTCACTTTGCATTACGCCTTAGTTTATCCTTATATCGTCTATTGTAACTCCGTCTGGTCGTCCACATACGTATCTAACTTAAATAGAATTTATTATTTGCAAAAGCGAGCTGTGCGGGCTATCGCCAACTCAGACTATCGAGACCACTCTGCCCCCTTATTCTCCAAACTAGGAATTTTATAAATTTTTCAAGTCAATACGTTTGAAATCGCTAAATTTATGTTTTATTTCAAGAATAACTTATTGTCCCCATTGCTTCTCGATCTTTTTGTAAGGAATAGCCAAAATCACAACTATGGTACCAGAACAGCCAGTAATTATCAAACGCATTTGTGCCGTACAAATGTCAAGCTGCTTACAATTCTCTACCAAGGTCCTAAAATTTGGAACTCTCTCCCTATTTCAGTCACTCGTTTGTCAAACTTTCTTAGCTTTAAAGCGAAATTGCAAGAGTTTTTCCTTAAATGATCACTGAATTGGCCAAGCTGCACATTCGCAGCACTTTTTCTTTACTTAATTTATTATTCTAAGTGAGGTGGCTCTCCCATAAGCCTAGTGGCTTCTTGGGTCTCGTCGCCTTCTTACTGTTATCGCTGTAATTAACTATTTTTTTAATTGTTAAAATAAGGCAAATAAAGATGATGATGACGAAATTGCATTCGAGATCATGTTAGAACCTATACTTATTTCATAGTTTTGAATCTTAGGTAATTCTTGCATTCTGATTGGCTCTCAGCAGTG